TTTAAAGATGCATTGTGTAACTTTACTCCATCAAATGCTTTCCATGGAGATGTTATTGCTTCGTCTGGAATATTTCACAGTAGAGGTCTACACATTTGAGTCCCGCGCCTGCCCGCTCCCGCAAAAAATTTTAATTTTCAGTCCTGCTCCCGACTGCATTTGCATTATTTTGCCCCGTGCCCGCCCACAAGTCCCGCAGGATGGGAACCTTTGCTTTCTTAAACTCTATCAACCACAGAGAGGCGAAAGAAATTGGGCTGCCCAGCGCGGTGGGCGATCCAGCGGCATGGTTAAGTCCTGGCTAAATCCTGCTTTAGTCCTGGTTTTAGAGCTGTTTTTAGACCTGGTTTAGACCTTAGTCCTGGTTTGAGTCCTGGTTTTGTTGCGCAGGCAGCACGACGTACGGAAGGAGGGACTATTCGCCCGCTGTACAGGACGCGGGGGAACTGTTCACGCGCTGTACGGAAGGAACGAGTGTCCTCGCGGTGTAAGGGACGGGTGGGTCAGTCTGCGCGGCGTACGGGAAAGGGAGACGGTCTGCTGCTTAAAATGTTTTTATTAATGCCAAATAAAATCTCCAGCACAAATTATGCATGATATTCTTACATTCACCTTTTTTATATTTTACTTTATACTCATATTTAGTTTGCGGGACTGCAGTTTATCATCCCTCCCACCCACTCCCACGTTGTTTAGCCCTACTCCCGCCCGCACCCGCAGCGAGCTTTCAAAATGTGTCCCGCGTCACTCTATTTCACAGTATGGTATTAAGCCTTTCTATCATCGTGGAGAATAAACCAGCCCAAGTTACAGGTCAGATCTCACAGTAAGAATGCCTGTTTTTTTCAATCTTTTTTTGAGCTGTAACTGAATAAACGTAAGCTAGACGTAGTTTAATGTCATACTGTGGAACATTCTGAGCAGAGCAGTGAAATATCCATAGAAACAAGCAAGTGATGAACTCCCAACCTGCTGCTATAAAGTTATAATCTCTGACACCTGTGGATCATTATGTTATCATTTGCACATTTTAAATCTTAATATTCATCTTAAACGACTTAATAAAAGAAATAAGTCCGCCGGGTTCCACGTTAAGGCCTGTTCATACTTCATAAGAACATAACTTGGTGATGTTTCCCTGTGTCTGATGAAGGAGTCCAGCCACTGCAGGGAGGTATATCGCGAGGGGATTTCTTTTCGTCCTGCCGCCTGACCACTCTTTTTTTTTTTTTTGGTGACCTGCGCGTATCGAGGCTCGCTTCATTTAGGGGAGGAGCTGAAAATGATGACGTCCGAAGCCTCGCTGCCCGGCTGTACCACGTGACTGATTCAGGAAATGGTTCGGATTTTGCTGCGATTTCTATTTTCATCATTTTGTTGGGAAGGTGACTTTTAAAATGTATTCCCCTACAGATTACAGATTACAGACCTCAAAATGTAGTTTGTAACCTAATCCATTAAATTACTTAAAGTGAGTAACGTAATCTGAATACTTTGGATTACTTGATATTGTCATGCTTTGTAAAACTACATGAATGCACCAACCACTTCCTGAAAATTCTTGTTTGTTCTCTGTTGAGCCCAAGTCTCCATGAACAGACTTTTGTTTACTGTAGAGAAGCAAAGACTAGAATCTTAACATAAGATGTTTTGTTTTATCTGCTAAAAGAAAATAAAAAGTCCAGTCTTTCCTTAACCAGATAAAAAATATTATTGATAGAGAAATGATTTTTATATGAGAAATTAGAAATTTATATGAGTATGTCCACCTACTGTTAGGTCTCATACTCTTTAGACCTGGTTTAGTCCTAGATTAGTTCTGGTTTAGTTCTGGTTTAGTCCTGGTTTTAGTTCTGGTTTTAGTCCTGGTTTAGCCCAAAATGTGAAAACAGGAAAATACCGTCCTGTAATCCATTTATTTCAACAAAGTAACATGAACTTGTGTGCAAATAGAAATAAGTCAATTTTTCTTGAAAAATCCTGCACTCGGCTCCACTTTTCTCATTTTTGACATTTTGTTGATGAGGGTGTCACGGTCAACAGTCAAAACGATCGTCCTTTAAGAGCGTTTGGAAAGAGACAAGTCTTCATTTGTGCTGCTCTGGTGGGAGGGGCCACGTACAGAGACGCTGGAGACGCTGCTGTGATAAACACCACAGAAAATTACCAAGATTTTAATAGAAAATATAATTAAAATATTTTAGTAGAAAATCAGCCGAGGGCCAGATTAAAGGACTTGGAGGGCCGGATCTGGTCCCCGGGCCTTATGTTTGACACTTGTGTTTTAGGGTTTTTATGTATATAGTTGGTGGTTTTAATAGTTATCTGGGTTTTGGGTTGTTTTATGGAGGTTTAGGTTATGATTTTAAGCTAATGATAATTTTACCATCCCTATTTTAGCAATAGTAGTTTTATCCAATCAGTAAGACCAGCATAAAAGGCGCCTCCAAACTAGTGATGGTGAGATGAAGCCCCATGAAGCACTGAAGCGTTCCAGCCATTTGCTCGACTCTTGAGCCAATGCTTCAAGGTGCTTTATTTGCTCCACTGCGCCATCAAGTGTCCCAAAAAATGTATAACAGGCAGAGTGAAAATAGAACAATCAACATGATCATCGAGGTTCTGATGGAAAGATTTATACTGAGTAAATGAACGATGAAATATATGTACTATGTACTATGTAAATATATATACTTTATGTCTGTGCTTATGCCACAATAAAGACGGCAAGATAGGGTCATTTTATTCATTTTTATTTAAAAAATATCAATTTCTCCACAGTATTTGCACTCAGACGGTTTCTTTTTTACGGAGAATTTCCCCTGCTTTAAAAAAATAAATAAATAAATAAAAATCTCAAATAGAATGCACCAAACTCGCAATAACCCAAAACCACAAAATGTTTTGGGGGAATCCGTTGCGTTTCACTTGCCGCTGTTTCGAATCGCGAACCACTTCCTGAAGCGATCACGTGGTAGAGCCGGGCAGCGAGGCTTCGGATGTCATCATTTTTGGCACCTCCCCCAAATGAAACAAGCCTCGATACTCGCTTCGCGGAAACACCCCCTTCTTTACTCGACACAGGCCTCGAAGCCTCGGCACATCTCATAACATCACTCCTCCAAACATCAGTCTGGGTTCTGCTGCTGGAGAGGAAACTGCTGCCTGCCTCCATTTTGCACCCTGCACTTTTTTTGCACTTGCACTTTTTGTAATCATTGGAAAACAAAAAGTAAACCGTGGACCACTGCTTCCTGTCTGTGTCTGGATTTTTTTTAACCTTACTCACTGAACCCCAAGCCGCTCACGGTCAACCTACGTCACAGGCGTCTTTATAATCATTGAATGTCATGTCGTATAGAGAGTATTTTCTCACCATTGAGCTGTGACTCAAAACTATCCTTTTTTTTTTTCTTGCTCCACACCGGCAAAGAAGCAGATAAACCTCGGCCACGTAAATAACCGATGAGTGGGAAGATCTCGCACAGCACTCCCCAAAAGTTCTGCTCAGCTGAGATGTCGAGAACAAGCCGCAAGAATTACCCAACAGGAGCTGACCCAACAAAATGACGTCATTTGGTTCGTCATTTTATCCAGCCCTGGGTGCAAGTTCTTATGTAGTATGAATAGGCGAGTTTCATTGTTGACAAAAGCGCGCGTTGCATGCTGGGAATTATTTTGGTCGGGGGCAATAAACACTAATTCAACATGACGGACGGAGCGAGAAAGCACGTAAAGGGTATTGATCCCGGTTATTTATCCACTCTAACGGCAGAGGACCCAAGACCATTTGACCAGAAATTGGTCATAAGCATCGACGGAGCCAAATCACCCTTTTCAACCCCTACAAAAGGTGGACCAAACCAAATTTCTGGTCAAAATCGCCAACTACCTGGCTAAATATTCACATCGGCGATATCCACAATGACTTGGTGGAAACTCCTGGGCCATTCACAGCAGAAAAGATGAAAACCTCCAAGAGTCTCGATGTGTTGTTGAACTTGTTGGAGTCCACGGTTTGTTAGGATCTTCTACGTTTGCTCTGCGAATGTTTGAAAGCCATTTAATTCACGTTAGCGGTTCTTTTCACTCAGAATACGAAAAAGACATTTTCCTTCTTCCGTGCTTCTATTTGTGCATCCGATAATGCAGCAGGAATTTACCATTATCGGGGATAAATACACGAGGTGACGCACTGTGTTTGACGCTATCGTGTTTCTTGCCTCCGACCAAAATATTTCCCAGCATGCAACGCGGGCTTTTAATAACAATGACGTCAGCTGAAACTCGCCTATAGGCCTTTAGAAAACTGTGGTGCCCAGTGGGAGCTGACGTCGCCGTAAACGTCATCACATCAAAGAGTCTATATAACTATAATGGACAGCTGCACGTCACAGTAGCAAGTAGCAGATTTTTTTTTCATTTACACCAAAATGACAACAAAATGCTTCCGAATCCTACTCGTAACACCGATGAGAGAAAATTGGAGAAAATTAGAGAACGAAGTAGGTAGAGAGCAATGGCGGTGAAAATGGGAGTTGAATGGCAAAATGGTGCGATTAAGATTTTAAGATTGCTCAAACATCCACGAATCACTCCAAATACAACTTCGTAAATGAGAAGGAGAAATCGCTATAACATAATTAAACCCTCTGGAAAGTCGATTTTGCATAATAGACCTGCTTTAACACACAAACGCTGCATATTTAGGCTGAGTTCTTCTCTCAAACAGAAAACACTCTGTTCCATTTTGTGACGTCATGCGCTAATACAGGTATTTTGAGTATTTTGAGTTGTGGAGATGTAGACTAATAACGTGTGAATGAAACAAAACACAACTCCAGGTCTGTTTGTGAGGAGGTAACAACATTAAAACAGTTTTACGTAATATTTTTGCATTAATAAAACCACACTCAAACACTTTACGCAGGTTTGATCGACGTGAGCGTGCACAGACAACATTTACATAAGCTCCGGAACAATTCCATTAAAATTCTTACCTGCAGTTTGACCTTCACTGCGTCGATGGTCAGGACTTTATTCTGAAAGACAAAAGAAACAGGGCTGTAAACATCGGCATAAACAGGATTTCAATGAGAAGGTTAATGCAGTGAAAGATTAAGGGGATTAAAGTTCTCCTTACTCTGTTTTCTTCAAACAACTCAACAAGCTAAAAAATGGATTTTAAAAGGTTAATGGGGTTACAGTTTAACACATATTTTGTCCTGTCCAGAGTAGTGTTTCAAACTCGATAATAAGGAAGAGTCTTGATACTCAATACTGATTCTGATAGCACAATGAAAACAAAAAAAGTTTTCTTTAGACAACATGTGATTTTCAACAGTAAATTGTAGTACTGTATTTTTCGGACTATAAGTCACTTTTTTTCATGGTTTGGGTGTTTCCTGCGACTTATACTACGGTGCGATTTATATATTAAAACTTTCACCCTGACAGCCATGAGAGGGCGCTCTAGGCTTGTGTGCCAGTATCTGCTACTCCTATTACTCCTGTACCACTGTCATTTCACTCTACTGCACATGTCTCCTACAGAAAGAGCCTCTGTCCTGTCTCCATCATGTCAGTCGATCGCACCATTACTTTTGTACCACTGAAAATTTTAAATTTAAATAAACTTATAAAGACGACTGAGGAGACTGAACACAAATGCCCCCAAAAGAAATTGATATATTGCAGATTAAAAGCTGAAAGTAGCAAAATATGCAGCTGAAAACGGTAATCAAGCAGCAGAAAGAAAGTTTGGAGAGAGCAAGAAACTTGTGACATCAGGAGGATGCAGCATGCAACTCTCCTGGAAGTCAGTGGATGGATGGACAAAGTCTGGACTTCAGTGACAACCAAAACCATCCTGTCAGGATTCAGAAAGGCCAGAATAATTCTAACTGGAACTGATGCTGAGTCTGACGACAGCTACACAGAAGAGGAAGCAGAGATCCCTTTACCTCTGGAGGTCACCGAGTTGCTCAGAAGTGACACCGAGGACGAAGAATTCAAGTGATGTGGAGTGAGATGCAGAGTTTGGTAACTTGCTGAAGAACTGATGTTATGTGACTGTCAGGAGATTATTTTGACTGACTGTTTTACCTTACAGGAATCTCTCTGTTCTATACTACTTTGTATGTTACTTATCTGTTCTACTGTTTACTACTTACTATTATTATTACTATTACTATGTTACTACCCTGATTTTATAAAATAAATTTCTCCCAAAAAAGTGTGACTTATACCCTGGAGTGACTTATAGTCCAAAAAATACGGTACTTTCTTTTATATTATCACGTGGTGTTATTTCTGTGTAATCCTTCAGGGGTCCAGATAAGTTCCAGAGTGGTCCATGGGCTTATACTAGACTAATCTGCTCTTATACTTTTTTCTGATACAGCTCAAGATCAGGAAAGGACAGGTTCATTTCTGTCCAGTGAATTGGACTTTTTTAGTATCAATACCTGCTCAAATTATTATCTAGTTTCAAGAGTAGTTTTGCTTATGATTACTATCTGATTTTCAATACTTTTAGCAACCTAAATGCGGGCGTACACATTTTTGGCCCTTTCTGAGCTGATTTTTCACTTGTTCGACAGTTTCTTTTGGGGGGGGATTGGGCCAAGTTTTGGCTTAATTGTGTGCCATGCTTGGTGTAGTAAATATGGGGTAACGAGAACCAATTAATACCTCATAACCAGCTCCCGATCAGCAATCGTAGGTCACAAAAATGTCAAACTTGTTTGAAATCCAGTCACTTCTTGTGAGGGTTTCACACTGTAGAAGCAGTTCATATAGTAATAGTTCATAATAGTTCATACGAATCATGAGCTGTGAACTCTTAAACCCTGTCATATGGCCGTACAGTTTGAGCTGAAGCTGAGTAATATCGCACAGTGTACGTCCAGCATTATTTCAGAGTGAGCCATGAGGAGATATGAAAAAATAGCTGTGAAATCATGTGCCTATACTTCATTGTTAAGTGTAAGTTTTGGTGCTATATATTCTGTAATCTTTTCCCAACACAAAAGTGAAACACATTAAATTCATTTAGTTGATTCATTGGTTAATTGTTGTCGATTCATTGGTTAATTGTCATGAGTTAGCTGAAGGTTTAATATTTTTGATATTTATATGTAGAAAGTCAGATGTTTTTTCATAAACAGTTTTTGCATGAACTCGTGTGCAGGTGTAGTCTTGTGAGTACAGTTGGGGGTCAGATACACAGAGATAAGTAATAGTTTTGAGAGCTTTTTCCATGCCCCTTTTTTATGGCGACCAATCAATCTGCAGGACGTCTTTTGTCCACCAAGAATTCCTTTAGCTGACTACAGCTCCATAAACATGCATTCTTTCAGTTTCTTGGTGTTTTTTTGTAAACCCACAGTTCAGAATCGTGTCCCTTGTGCAGCTGAAAGGAAAGGAAAATGGTCTAAAAGCAATGGCGGCTTTCAAGGTCTGGTAATAGGAAGCACTCCTTTAGAGCACAAAAATGAGTCTGTTAAGGCAGGCCCGAGTTTTCTTGTGAGGCAGAGGCATTTGTTGGTTTTTGGTGAGCTCAGCGGTACAGTGGGTGGAATAAGGAAGCCAGTCTCCTTAAGTCTGTCCTTTATCAACACGATGTAGACAGAGTTTGTGTTTGCACTTCTGTACAAACTTTATGGAAACAGTTGCAAGAACACTCATAAGTCTGAAGTAAAAATGACCTTCTAAAACTACATACTGAAAGCTGTAATCACACATTTGTACAAAGTATTTGAAAGCAAAACCTCTTTAAAGATACACCATGTAACTTTTTGCTTGTTTCTATGGATATGGCATTGTTCTGACCTTAATGTTCCACAGTATGACATTAAACAGCAGGGTGTCAGGATCACTACAGTTTTATTTCATGTTAATAGGTCCAATAATTCTGGAGAAATTCATATTTAAAAATTGGAATGCACAATATATTAAACCTAAAGCGTTTTAAGGACTTTAAGGGTGACAAAACCCACTTTATTTCTATAGCACATTTCATAAACAAACAGTTTCCAAAGTGCTGCACAAATACATAGTTATAACAAACATAATATAATATAATGATAAAGTAAACACTCAGATTTACTCTTAGTCTTAAAACAATAAAACAAGTAAAATAAAATAAGAGCAAAACCATAAAATAAATTACAAATAAATAAAAGACACAGAGCAGTACACAACTCACGCAGTGTTAAAAGCCGGAGAATAAAAGTAGCCAGAGAATAAATAGTTGTTTACTTTCAATAGCTTGGATTATAAAGATGAGAAGCACAAGAGGAGAGAAAGAGCAGAGAAGGTGAGGAGCTGGATCAGTGAGGGAGGGGGGAAGTGGTCAGACGGCAGCACACACAGAGAAAGACAAAGAACACACGGGTCTTTTAGTCAAATTGTGTGTGTAATTGAGTTAAATTAAAACACGTCAACACGTGAGGAGACAAAGGACCACACAGTGGCTCAGGTGCTTTTCCTAAACAAGAGCATAAATCTTCGTCAGCTCTACGTGCTCTTAAAGCCACACAGCTGGCTGTAGCCCTGTCCATTAAAATATGATTGCCTTATTATCGAGACAGGACAGTTACAACCCTTTTCGCATCCTTCTTAAAACTTATTGCTGCTGTCATCCTTATGTTATTTTCGTCCTTTATGTAATGAACCGAAGATTAATTTATTCTGTAATGGAGCCCTACAGAGCAGAGTCCTGCACAGGTCCATTTTTGGAGACCCGCAGTACAACATCGCAGCCGCCCGTTAACCCGTTAAAACTATTATGATCATTTGAAACTGCAGTGAAATTGGGGGGGGTTGTGATTGTAAGAGAATTTAAGTAATTTATCTTCCTCCACGTACATCTCAGTTTAACACTGACTCACAAAAGCTATATTTACACCATCATCTTCCTTTGGCACACCATGATCTAAATTGTGGCATATTGCCATCTTCCTGGTGCTTACTGGCCTTCGCAGTCTCACTAAATACTGACTAACCTGGAGTCTACTGGCCTTTATAATCTCACCACTTGCTTTATAAACCTCCTTGTCTGGAAACGTAGTAAAGCAGCTTGAACACTAAAAGATCACACTATGTTCACTTCTGAAATCATACTATGTTGACTTTTCAAATCCCTCCTGTATTATTGATGGTAAATAAACTTCTCCTGCTTAAGACATCCAGTTGGTCTCTAGCCTTTTACTTCCCCCCCTTCTTGGACAAGCTGAAAACTTCTACAGCAGTGAGTGTGTTTAAATTGTCCTTTTTAATGATACCTAGAGAAACACAATTTCACCTTGCCTGAACTACAGTTTTATGTACAGCAATATGACAATAAAGACTGATTTGATTTGATTCGTGGTATGTATCAGACTCAAGGTGATGAGCTCCCCTAATACAGATGTATATGTACAAAAAAAAAAAAAACAAACTCCCACACTCCACCCCTCTGTCCACACTCGGATACTAAAACCATTTCTGACACAGCACATGCATCTGTCCCGTTGCGCAGCACAACTGAACACAATCACCCTTTTCAGCACCCATGTTGTTTTCCAGCGTCTCTCCTCAAATTGCCAGCAGATCCGAGGTGCCCATCCATCATTACGCCCGATGTGATGCTACTGGCAAATAAGATGGATGAGCAGCCAGCCATGGTCGGGTCCCAGCGGGAATATCAGCAGTCCCTCTTAATAGGACTCACACTGTACGGCGGGTGGCAGGGTCCGGAGCCCGTGCCTCTCCCCATCAGCATCTTAAACACACCTCGTTATAAAGTCTAATGTCTGGGCTTTGTTGGTGGCGCTGGGTCCGGCTGTGAGACTGCCGCTGGTTTCCATTCCGAACACATTTCTTGAATCTTACCTTCTTTCTGGGGGAATTCTACTCCCCAAACAGGAGGGGACCGCACACAGACGCCAGACAGACACACTGAAGTGAAAACAAAGCTCGGTGTTTTGTATTCATTGACTGGATCTCAGGTTTTTTGCTCGGTCAAAGAGAAAAACTTGAAGACGCTCCCGGAAAGGAA